TCAGGCAATCCACTCACCTTAGCCTCCCAAAGCGCGGGATTACAGGCTGAGCCACCGAGCCTGGTGGGAATATAGATTTTGACCTTTGGCTTGACCACTGGTTCTCAACAGATCAGATCTGACATTTAAAAAAAAACGCATTGCTGGGCCAAAGCAGACACTGCACAGGCAGGAGTCTGTATGCAAATGGGGTACCGGAGCAAGATGATCCATTAATATTATTATTAATATTAATAGTGAGAAAACAAATCACAACTTAATACCCACAGAGTAAAAGGGTGATGTTTCATCATTAAAAATAAAGGAGCAAATTATTTCTTTCCTAGATTGACTCAAAACTATATACTGTTCAAGGTTTATAGAGGAGAAAATTTAGGAATAAAAATTAAGTAAATTGCACCCATAAAAAAGAACAAAATCATGAATTCTGCAGCAACCTGGATAAAATTAGAGTTTATAATGCTGAGTGATCTCTCACAGAAACAAAGATCTGAGTATCACATGTTCTCACTCATAAGTGGACCTTGAACAACTAACATAATACTATAAGAAAAGGATTGATAGTGGCGGGAAACTATGGGGGGGAGGCCGGGAGGTGGGATTAACAGTAGTCAATATCTGTCTGGGGAGGGGGGGCACACCTCATCAATAAGGGTACCTGCACAATGAATATTTGTACCTAACCCTTAACTGTACCCCACAATTTAAAAATAAAAAATATATATTAAAAAAATTTAAATTAAAAATTTAAAAATCCCCCCCCCTGTAAAAATTAAGTAAGTTTCCTAGGTTATACAGTTAACCTGATAAAGCTATAGTTTCTGTCTGGGAAGTCTGGCTCTATCTAGATCTGTGCTCTTTAAAGCATCACAAAATTAATTGGCATAGACAGAGAAGAAATTCTCCCATGTAGCCGGGCTCGGTGGCTCAGCCTGTAATCCTGTGCCTTTGGAAGGGTGAGGTGAGTGGATTGCCTGAGCCCGCAGGTTCGAGACCCGCCTAGGCAGCGAGACCTCATCTCTACAATAAATCAAAAAATCAGCTGGGCGTGGTATCACATGCCTGTGATTCTGGCTACTTGGAAGGCTGAGGCGGAAGGATTGCCGGAGCCCAGCAGGTCGAGGCTGCAGTGGCCGGGAGCGGCCATGCACTCCAGTCTGGGCGACAGAGTGAGACTTCAACTCAAAAAAAAAAAAAGAAAAAAAAGAAATTCTCCCATGTTTATCTTGTACTAAGTAAGAATGAGAATAAATATAAACTTTTCCTTTATCACTTTGTAGGGTACTGAACAGGACCCCTCCCCAAATCTAATAAGATAAACATCAATTCCCAAAAATGCCTAATATAATAAAGAATATCTTTCATCAGACCTTGAACAACTATCGTAATACTATAAGAAAGGGACTGGCAGTAGTGGGAAACTGCCAGGGAAGGAGGAGGCATACCTCATCAACAAGGGTACCTGTATAATGAACATTTGTATACCTAACCCTGAATTGTACCCCACATATTTAAAATGAAAAAATTATTTAAAAAAAGAATATCTTTCATAGCCAGCAACAGCACTGTTAGTGGCTAGACATCATATGTGTTCTCAATCAAATTATCAATACAGATAAAGTTGTCTGCTTTTACCACTTTGTTGGAATTTCATCCAAAGCAATAAGAAGGGGAAGAGAAATAAGAGGCATATGTTGAAATGGAAGACTGTATTAGTATCATCTGCAGATGATTCACCTATAAAACTTAAGAGAATCAGGTGAAATACTTTTAGGTTTTTTTTGCAAAAGTTTTTTTTTTGTTTGTTTGTTTTTTGAGTTGGTGTCTCACTCTGTGGCCCAGTTTGGAGGGTAGTGGCACACTCCTGGCCACTGCAACCTTGACCTGCTGGGTTCAGGTGATCCTTCCGCCTCAGCCTTCCAGGCAGCTGGAACCACAGGTGTGCACCACCACGCCTGGTTGATTTTTTGATTTATTGTAGAGACGAGATCTCACCAAGTTGCTCAGGCTTGTCTCAAACTCCTGAACTCAAGCAGTCCTCTCACCTCGGCCTCCCAAAATGCTGGGATTATAGGCGTGAGTCACTGCGCCCAGCCTGTAAAAGTTTTATAGTGGTGAATATATAAGAAATATACATAAAAATCAATAAATCTTTTACATACTAGCATTAAATTCTTTAAAATTTATCTAAAAAATAGTATTCACAACAATAACTAAAGTAAAATGAATCAAAATAATCTTTGCAGGAACTGTTTAGGGGAAGGCACAGTGGCTCACGTCTACAACCCTAGCACTTTGGGAGGCTGAGGTGAGAGAACTGCCTGAGCCCATGGGTTCGAGACCAAACTGGGCAATTTGGTGAGAACTCATCTCCACAATAAAAAAAAAAAAAAAAAAAAAAAGAATTAGATGAAGAAAACTATAAGAAGTTCTATACTTTGACCCAGTAATTCATCATCTAGAAATCTACTTATGGAAAGAGTCAGGACTTCAAACATTTATTACGTTTTTAAGTACTTAAATATTATAATTTTTTTTCTTTTTCTTTTTTTTTGAGACAGGGTTTTGGGGTTTTGGTCTGTTGCCCAGGTTGGGGTGTAATGGAATGATTATATATAATAGATCACTATAAACTCGAATTATTCCCACCTGCCTCAGCCTCCCAAGTAGCTAGGCCTACAGGTGTGTACCACCATAGCTGGCTAATTTTCCTGTTGAGATAAGGAGCTTGCTGCATCACCCAGGCTGGTCTTGAATTCCTGGCCTCAAGTGATCCTCCTGTCTTGGCCTCCCAAAGTGCTGGGATTACAGGTGTGAGCCTGGGTTTGGTTTAATATTAGAAAAAGTTCAAATATCCAATAGTAGGAGAATGTTAAATAAGTTATGGTACATCTTTATGATAAAATCTTTACAACCACTTATGACTTTTAAGGATTATTTAATGATATGGGGAAATGCTAAAAATATTCTCTACTGGATAAAAGCAGGATATAAAATTTCTTATACCACCTAATGCTAGTTTTGTTTAATACTGGGCAGATGATTCTAATTTTTCTCATAATTTTCTGAAGTATTCCCACCCCTATGTCTTAGTTTTCATGATATCAAACTTCTAATTCTTCTCTAATTACGTTTGCGGCTTTTACTTCCTCTGAATGATCCCCTACTCTCTTATCACTCCAGCTAATCCAGGGCAATTTCATTCACTGCAAAGGCTTTAATCCTCCCATATGCTAAAGAGTCCTAATCTGTCTCCTCATAACCCAATTCTCCTCCTTTGCAAACTATCCTAATCTTTAGCCATCTAGATATCTAGGTAGGTTTATATTATCCCAGATTTCTTCTGTTCCTTGAATTCCTGCTAGATCAATTTTTTTTTTTGAGACAGGGTCTGGCTCTGTCATCCACATTGGAGTGCGGTGGTACGATCATAGCTCCTTGTAATCTTGAACTCCTGGGCTCAGGCAATCCTCCTGCCTTGGCCTCCCAAAGTCCTGGGAGTGCAGGTCTAAGCCACCATGCCCAGCTTCCACAACCTTTTAAAATAAAACTTGAATTCATTCCCTCATCTCTATCTCAGCTGCTGCTACTCTAAATTGAGACATTCTCCTTTCACCGGGAGATATATGCAATAGACTAACTGGTCCACAATCTTGATCTCTTCAATCCTATCTATCATTAAAGTGATCATTCTAAAGTACAAAACTCATCATTACTCTCCGCTATTTATAGTTGACATTTCTATGTGATGTCATGAAGGTTCAAACAGGAAGAAGTGCATGTTCTGTGAAGGCTAATTCATTCACAGCTCACAAAAACACCACTGCCTTTTCCATTGGGGAAAAAAAGCAGCTTACTAAGGCAGATGCTGAAATGAAAAAGAAAACTCAGGGGGAGTGACTAAGCTCATGGACAAGGCATGAAGCTAAGCTAAGCCTAACAGTCCACTGGACTTTTTTCATCAAAGTGGGTTTTTAAAAATCAGCTTAACACCATCAACAGCTTCTTCCCATCCCTAGGCTCTGCTGTAGATCTTCTAAAGGTGCTAGGCAGTTTTCCACATGCTACCTACAGAACCTAGTCTTTCTAATCTGCTTTCCTTTGTCTATCTGCTTAACTTACCCTTTATTAAACTTTGCTGTGGATTTGACATTTGAAATATACCTTGCTGTTTCCTAAGCAGTCTTGAACCTAGGAACCAGCCAGGCCACGACCCTAGGCCTTCACTAACCGAACTGAACAACAACAACAACAATAAAAAACTCAGTCTATGAGGGGTATAAAGCATACAGGCTTTGCAATACAATGAAATAAAAGAAGTATTTTTTTTCCCTACCTATAGCCATTCTTAATACTCTGCCGGCAAATGTCATCTGCCACTATAAAGACTGAAAATATACCATTCCTTTTCATTTCCTGAACTAAACTTCCAACCAATTAAAAAAAAAAAAAAAGACTAAAAATATTAGATATGGGCTTTCCCAGTAGGCAGACTTTTTATAAGATATTCTTATCCACTCACATTACTTTTTAATGTCTTTTGAGCATACCACTGCACATTTATTGTCAATGAATTTCTACATTGTTAAAAGATAAATTACCTGTTGTCAATAATCATTACACTGGAGGGTGGAATCCCCAAAACATCACAGCTCTGCAAAAGTTCTTTCTTACGAGTTTCTCCCTGATTGTAGTAATCTCCTGAGGATAACAAATATATAGTGGCAGTTTTCTTTAGCAGTATAGACTTGTGTGTTAACTCATTTTTATCCCATTTTTTTCCCTAAAGGATTTAAGCTGCCTGAAAAATGTGTGGCTATGATAAAAAGTTGAAGAAAATACAATGTGAAGGTTGCTATAATATACTCTTGTGAGAAAACTACCAGCAGTACAATTTGTAGAATCATGATTAATAATTCTTTCCCCTCTCTGGATTTACCTGTCTGTTTGCATTTTGGTCATATGCTTGAGGCAGCATGATACACAGCCAAGAATACTGGCTTTGAAATTAAGCAGATTGGCTGGGCTCAGTTGCTCAGCCTGCAATCCCAGCACTTTGGGAGGCCAAGGCAAGTGGATTGCCTGAGTCCGTGGGTTCAAGACCAGCCTGGGCAACTTCACGAGACCTTGTCTCTGCAATAAATAAAAAATTAGATGGGTATGGTAGTGCGCGCCTGTAGTTCTGGCTCCTTGGAAGGCTGAGGCTGAAGGATCGCCGGGGCCCAGCAGGTTGACACTGGGGTGGGTGTGAGCGTGCCACTGCACTTCAGCCTGGGTGACGGAGTGAGACTCCAACTCAAAAACAACAACCACCACCACCAACAAAAAGAAATTAAGCAGATTTAGGATTGACTCTTGTATAGGCACTCAGAACAATTGGGGTACTAGTCACAGTATTAGTCTGGACCCTTTAAACGGATAGTTCTCACATAGCTGTTTAACACCGAGTTAAAGAAGAGGTTTTATGAGCTTATTCTTGCTGGTATTAAAATAAAAATAAAGAAGAAGCTACAATTCCTGAGTACTAAAGAAAAATGTGCAGGTACCTTTCAGAAAAACATTCTGTTTTGGAGTTTAGCAACCAGTTATCTTAGTATATCCTGAGATCTCAACCCCACTGGCACCCCGAAAAGCTTGTATATTCTTTATTTTGCCTGTACAGATACTATAATTCCTAAGAATAGTTCTGGTAAATAGAACTCCTCTTTATTTTTACAAATGATAATACAGTGACATTTTGGTATCATCTAAGCTGCACTTATTGTAAGCAACTGTCTAGCAAATAATTGTATGTACGATTTGTGCAAATTATTCTTCCTTTCTTCCTGAATTACAATTCATCTCCATCGTCCAGATCAAATGTTATTTCCTCTAGTTGGTCTCTCCTATTTTCTCTGGCAAGTAATAATTTCTCATATTCTACTCATAAGTATGAATTTTTCTCCATGATCAGATTAATTCCTAAATGTCACTGACCATAAAAGTCATGGTTTCACTAAACTTTGTATAATCCCTGATATCCAGCACGCTGCAGGCACTCATGAATGATTGAAAATATGAGATATTGGTTTTCCCAGTATGTACACTTTTTTTTTTTTTTTTTTTTGAGTTGGAGTCTCACTCTGTCACCCAGACTGGAGTGCATTGGCTGCTCCCGGCCACCACAGCCTCGACCTGCTGGGCTCCAGCGATCCTTCCACCTCAGCCTTCCAAGTAGCTGGAACTACAGGCGCGCACTACCACACCCGGCTACTTTTTTATTTATTGTAGAGATGAGGTCTCACCAAGTTGCCCAGGCGGGTCTTGAACCCACAGACTCAGGCAATCTACTCACCTCAGCCTCCCAAAGTGCGGGATTACAGGCTGAGCCACCGAGCCCGGCTAAACTTTTTATAAGATGTTCTTATCCACTCACATTACTTTTTGTGTCTTTTGAGTATACCACTGCACATTTATTGCCAATGAATTTTGACAGTTAAAAGATAAATTACCTGTTATTTATAATCACTTCACTGGAGGGTAAAATTCCCAAAACATCACAGTGAGGTTCCGCTCACTGTTCCAGATAACTTAGAAGAAAACTTCCTTTGAAACCTTTCACCCCTGGTAAGGGTTACTCTAGTGCTAGCTTTGAAATGTTTGAACTCAGATAGGAGACAGTCATAACATTGTACCGAACAAAGAGACTAATCTTAAAAAGACTGCAGATAATAGCTTTAGTTTTATAATGCTCTAAAGAGTTTTCTTTTCTTAGAAAAATCAGATGACCATTATATTTTAGGTTTCCCTCAAACCCATACACATACTCTTTCCTAATTTTTCCCTAGGCAACTTGCTCTTTGGGGATAAATGAAGTCTAATGTACACTCATGATGCAGTTTTAATGTTTAGAACCACACACATCAGTGTATGATTATGGTTATAAGTTGTTGAGAATTAAGGCTAATGTATTTATGGGATTAGTTTTATTGCTTTGTGTTTGAATTAAGAAATTTACAACAGGTTAGGGGTTGAAGTGAAGGACTATTTAAACTATTTTCAATAAGTTTGGTGTACATGTAGGTACTTCAGCAGAATACATGTCTGCGATTCTTCAGCAGCTTTTTTTTTTTTGAGTTGGAGTCTCACTCTGTCACCCAGGCTGGAGTGCAGTGGCATGCTCTCGGCCACCGCAGCCTCAACCTGGTGGGCTCCAGCGATCCTTCTGCCTCAGCCTTCCAAGTAGCCGGAACTACAGGCGCGCGCAACCATGCCCGGCTAATTTTTTTTTTTATTTATTGTAGAGATGAGGTCTCACCAAGTTGCCCAGGTGGGTCTCGAACCCGCGGGCTCAGACAATCCACTCACCTCAGCCTCCCAAGGTGCGGGATTACAGGCTGAGCCACCGAGCCCGGCTCTTCAGCAGCTTTTAAATAACACATTTTAAGGCTGGACACAGCAGCTCACACCTGTAATCCCAGTACTTCAGGAAGCCAACGAGGGAGGATTGCTTGAGTCCGGAAGTTTGAGATTAGCCTAAGCAATATAACAAGATCTTGTTGCTACAAAAAAAAAAAAAAAAAAAATCAATAAATTAGCCAGGCATGGTGGCATGTGCCTATAGTCCTGGATACTCAGGAGGTTGAAAAGGAAGGATCATGGGAGGTTGAGGCTGCAGTGAGCCGTGACTGTGCCACTGTACTCCAGCCTGGGTGACAGAGTGAGACTTCGACTCAAAAAACAAACAATCAAAAAACAGATTCACATGGTTAAAAAAATAAAAAGAAACAGAGGCATTTAAGGCAAAAAAATAAAAATTAAAAATTAAAAAAGCACCCTTCTCCCATTCCTTTACCCTGTTCCCTACCTAGAAATTTTTGTGTTAGAATGAGAAGTAAGACTGGGAATAGAGGCATCGTGGTCCCAACACCACCAGGCCTTTTACTAACAACATGAATTTGGAGCAATTCCTTAAGTTCCTGGGTTTCAGGAATGCCAGCAAAGTTTTTCCTTGAACATGACCAACTAATTCTAAAATGTATTTTAAAGAAAAACATCCAAATTTCCTCAACTATAAAATGAGGGAGTTTTAGGCTCTATGTCAGAATCTATCCAGTATAACAGAAACCACATCAAATATTTACAACAGCAAGAATTTAATGCAAACATTTTAATATATAACTGATGGAGTACATAAAGACCAACAGGGAACAGTGAAGTGACCCAGAGTTAGAGACAGCAAGAAGTGACTTCTAATCTACATTGTTTTTGTTGGAGAAACAAAAGAAGGCAGTGTTATTGGGGTCCAGAGGCCTACATTTCCAAAGGAAGCTGAAACCAAGAAAGCCAAAATCCCTTCTGTTAGAATGAGTCCAAAGAACCCAGTTTAAGAAATCACAATTTCGGCCGGGCTCGGTGTCTCAGCCTGTAATCCCAGCACTTTGGGAGGCCCAGGTGAGTGGATTGCCTGAGCCCGCGGGTTCAAGACCCGCCTGGGCAACTTGGCAAGACCTTATCTCCACTATAAATAAAAAAAACTAACCGGGCGTGGTAGCGCGCACTTGTAGTTCCAGCTACTTGGAAGGCTGAGGCAGAAGGATCGCTGGAGCCCAGCAGGTCGAGGCTGCGGTGGCCAGGAGCGGCCATTGCACTCCAGTCCGGGTGACAGAGTGAGACTCCAACCCCCCCCCAAAAGAAAGAAATCATAATTTCTTCTTTTTTTTTTTTAGCCAGTGAAATTTAGCAGTGGTGGGTTATATCCCAACTTTAGTGACACTAGTTGTTAATAAGTTCTGATAACCCACTACCATAGGACCAGCCTTTTTTTTTTTTTTTTTGAGTTGGATTCTTACTCTGTCATCCAGTCTGTAGTGCAGTGGCATGCTCATGGTTACCGCAGCCTTGACCTGCTGGGCTCAGGCAATTTTCTGGTCTCAGCCTTCCAAGTAGCTGGAACTACAGGCATGTGCCACCATCCCAGCTAATTTTTCTTTTTTTGAGTTGGAGTCTCACTTTGTCACCCAGGCTGGAGTGCAGTGGTACGCCCCTGGTCACCGCAGCCTCGACCTGCTGGGCTCCAGCGATCCTTCCGCCTCAGCCTTCCAAGTAGCTGGAACTACAGGCGCGCGCTACCACACCCAGCTAATTTTTGATTTATTGTGGAGATGAGGTCTCGCCAAGTTGCCCAGGTAGGTGTCGAATCCGCAGGCTCAGGCAATCCACTCATCTCAGCATCCCAAAGTGAGGGATTACAAGCTGAGCCACCGAGCCCAGCTAATTTTTTGATTTATTGTAGAAAAGAGGTCTCATCAAGTTTCCCAGGCTGGTTTCGAGTCCCTGGGTTCAGGCAATTCTCTCATCTCCACCTCCCAAAGTGCTGGCATTACAGGTGTAATACAGGTTCAGCCATCACACCCAGCTGAAAATCACAATTTAAAAGTGACACTATAATTTAAAAATGTCCAAATAACTTCAACAGACATTCTCTAAAGAAGATATATATACAGCCAATAAGCACATGAAATGCTCATCATCATTAGTCATTAGGGAAATGCAAATAAAAACCACAATGAGATTTCACATGCACTAGGATGGCTATAGTAAAAAAAAAAAAAAAAGGAAAATAGCAAGTGTTGACAAAGATGTGAAGAAACTGGAATCCTAGTGCATTGCTGGTGGGAATGTATAATGGTATAGCTGCTATGGAAAACAGTTTAGTGATTCTTTGAAAACTTAAACATAGACTTTCCACATGACTCAACAATTATACTCACAGGTATATATTCAAAAGAACTGAAAACTTGGCCAGGTGTGGTAGCTCAAGTCTGTAATCCTAGCACTTTAGGAGGACAAGGTGAGAGGATTACCTGAGCCCAGGGGTTTGATACCAGCCTGGGCAACGTGGTGAGACCTTGTCTCTACAATAAATAAAAAAATTAGCCAGGTGTGGTGGTGTGCACCTGTAGTTCCAGCTACGTGGAAGGCTGATGTGGAAGGGTCGCCTGAGCTCAGTGGGTCGAGGCTGCGGTGGCCATGAGCATGCCACTGCACTCCAGCCAGGATGACAGAGTGAGACTTCAAAAAAAAAAAAGAATTGATAACTGGTACTCAGATACTTGTACAATGATGTTCATAGAAGCATTATTCACAATAGCCCCTGAGATGAAAACAACCCAAATTTCTATCAATAGGTGAATGAATAAACAAAATGTGGCATAGACATATAATGGAATATTAACCAGCCATAAAAAAGAAGGAAGTTCTGATACATGCTACCACATGAATGAATTTTGAAAACATTATGCTAATTAACATAAGCCAGGCATAAAGTGACAATTATTGTATGATCCTACTTATATGAGTTATCTAGAGTAGTCAAATTCATAGAGACAGAAAGTAGAATAGTGATTGCCAGGGGCTGGGGAGAAGAGGGAAGTTGAAAGTTATTGCTTAACAGGTACAGAGTCTCTTTTTGGTATGATGAAATAGTGGTGATGGTTACATAATATTGTGAATGTACTCACTGAATCGAACACTTAAAAATGTTTAAAATGGTAAATTTATTTTATATATATTTTACTACAATTTAAAAAATAGGAAAAAACTAGATTTTTACTGAATAAAAATTTTCAATTATGAGATATCACTATAAAACAGAAATTGTCTTTAAAATTGTTATACAATTTTAAAAAAGATCATTAAAATGAAATTTTTAAAAATGCGGAGCACATATCTATACAGCTAAGAACAAGAAACACTGTCACATGCTTTTATCAGTCAATATAGTCATACTTTGGAGTAGTGTCATTTTTCATCATTCCCAAAACAATTGCATTCATATTGACTTTTACTAATGAAATTGCTACTTTTCATTGTTTCTTTGATCTGTCATTAACAAGGCCAAACATAAAGCAATCTGTCTTTTTCTCCATAGGACAGGCATATTAGTATCATATAGAACAAGAACGATGCTGACATGAGAACATTGTCCAGTTCACTGCAGTGAAGTTCTAATAAGTACTTACAATACACAGCCGGGTTCGGTGGCTCAGCCTGTGCTTTGGGAGGCTGAGGTGGGTGGATCACCTGAGCCTGCAGGTTCGCGACCCACCTGGGCAACTTGGTGAGAACTCATCTCTACAATAAATCAAAAAATTAGCCGGAGGCGTGGTAGTGCATGCCTATAATTCCGGCTACTTGGAAGGCTGAGGCAGAAGGATCGCCGGAGCCCAGCAGGTCGAGGCTGCGGTGGCCAGGAGCGTCCACTGCACTCCAGTCTGGGCGACAGAGTGAGACTCCAACTCAAAAAAAAAAAAAAAGTAATTTTAAGAAGTATGAAAAAGAACAATTTTAAATGGTGCTGGATAAAGAGGAAATAATGTAAGAGAACAATAAAAATATTGAGTGCCACGTGCACGCTTTATATTTTTTATTTGAAAAAATTTTGAAATCTGGTCCCAAATTTTTATCATTCTCTTGACAATAAGAAAAAATTTATTAAAGAACAAACTGCACCTATAATACTCTGTAAATAAAATCCAGGCTTTTGCTACAGATCTTAAGAGAAGCTTATAATTTGACTATCATACTTGTAGTATAAAATATAAATGAAAAGTAAAGAAAAAAAGGGGGCTATTACTTGTAACTATTTGCAGTTAATAATCTTTTGTTTCCTTTTTTTTTTTAGAAAGCAGGATTTATTGAGAGGACAGAAGGACAGAAACGCTCCCACACGGAGAAGGGGCCTGCAGGGGGATTGCCCTGCAGTTAATATTCTTTTTTTTTGAGTTGGAGTCTCACTCTGTTGCCCAGACTAGAGTGCAGTGGCCGCTCCTGGCCACT